TTTCTGTGATTTTTTTTTTTTTTAATTTGAAACATTTGAATATCGACTTTCAATTGTTTTTGTTATTCAATTTAAACAAGAAAGATGGATACTGCGAAAATTCGAGTGATTTTTGAATACGAGTTCCGACGCGGAACCAACGCGGCAGAAACAGCCCGCAATATCAATGCTGCGTTTGGAGAGGGGTCTACTAATGAACGCACCGTGCGATTTTGGTTTAAACGCTTTCGTGATGGAAATTTCGACTTAAAGAACGAGCCACGTGGAAGACCGCCCACACAGGTGAATAACGATGAATTAAGAGAGATAGTGGAAGCCGATCCTAGTCAAACTACCCAGGAATTAGCGGCATGGTTTAACGTTACCTTACCCACAATATTGACTCACTTGCGTCAAATCAATAAAATAAAAAAATACGAAAAATGGGTGCCTCATGATTTGACTGATCTGCAGAAAGAAACGCGTGTTGAAACTTGTGTTGCCTTGTTGAACCGGTACAGAAATGAAGGAATATTGGATCGAATTGTAACATGTGATGAAAAGTGGATTCTTTATGATAACCGGAAAAGAAAAATGCAATGGCTGACCCCAGGTCAAATGCCACAACAGTGTCCTAAAGCAAAACTTACCAATAAAAAGGTAATGGTAACTGTTTGGTGGTCTCAGCATGGTGTTATTCACTATAGTTTTCTCCGATCTGGTCAAGCAATAACGGCAGATGTCTATTGTGCCGAACTCCGAACCATGTTGACAAAACTAGCAGTAAAACAGCCCCGACTCATGAATCGATCTTCACCATTATTGCTCCACGACAACGCGAGACCTCACACAGCACGAGAAACCATTTTGACCCTTCAGGAACTGCAGTTAGAAACCATTCGTCATCCTCCGTATTCACCAGACCTTGCTCCAACGGACTACCATTTTTTTCGTGATTTGGACAATTATCTACGTGACAAGAAGTTTTCTTCCCAGGAGGCAGTACAAAATGCTTTCACACAGTTTGTGCAGTCTAGATCGTCGGAGTTCTATCGCAAAGGCATTAATAACCTTCCCATTAGATGGCAGCAATGTATAGATAATAATGGCAACTATTTTGATTAAATAAATTTGTTAAAAATTTAAAAAATAAACAATTTAGATTTTCAGTACAAATCGGCAATTTCATACTTTAACCCCTATTATATTGTGTTTAAAAAATAAATAACAAATCTAACATTTTGACATCTTTTTACTCGTAAAACCGCAAGTACCTTCAGATGTATTTTTTTTTTTATTGAGAATGATTGGACCTATATTGTAAATAAACCACACACATTACATTTTCCTACAAATCGAGATAAAAAATAAAATGTTTATTTCTTGAAACAAAAGAACCTAAAAATTTTTTTCTCTGAAACAATCAGCTTTTCAAGAAATTACATAAGAATAAAACTTATCAGGGATGTTATTATGTATCATATAAAAAAATCAGCTCCGTATTCCTAAAATTGTTCCTATGATTAAATAATAATTTAGCCTAAAAATTATACTTTTTATTTCTGGCATTTTTGAATTACCTTCAGATTAATTTATACTAGGTTGTTGGTCTTTATGCACTGTTTGTAATGGATGACATCCGTTGATGAGACATTTGTTTTGTTATCTATGTATGTGCTTAATAAGAGTCATCAAGTAAACGTGAATCTCATGAAGTAGGTTGGGTTGGGTTGGGTTGAGGTAAGTAGCTAGGTTTTCAAGAGCAAGAAACCACTGTGACGATGGCAGTATTCGAAAATTTGCCAGATCCGCTCGCAATCCTGGGTTCCGATATGTAGCGAGAACTACATATAAAAAACCCTTTTCAGGGCTACCGTATTTTCTAAGTTTCAAATTGAATAAACGCATGATTCAATAGTGTACACTATTCTTACTTTACAAGGCAATGCAACTTAAAACTTCCTTTCCCAGAAATATATAACAGCCTCGTTGTTGGTTATAATTTGATCAAAGTTTTGGATTTGTGACACGAGCGATTCAATTCTTTTGTATCATTACATACTTTAAGTAACTTTTAATATATCGCGCACTGAACACATCATTATTTAGTATACGACCAGGCCGCTTCATTTAAATATTTTGTGAACAGGGCCAGGATGCATAACTCAAAATTACTAAAAATAATTAAAGTGAGCATTCATAGTATTGAGTGTCATTAATTACTGACCTAATGTTAGGAGTTAGCTTTAAAAATAGTGAACAGTGTGTAGCGACATCAGACTGAATCTTCATTTTTACAATAATTAAACTACTTACTTCATGAGATTCACGTTTCACTTGATGACTCTTGTTATGAACTTATATGGGTAACAATACAAATGACTCGTCAACAGATGTCATCCATTACAAACAATGCATAAAGCTATTTACAGAATATCTGTGATAAAGCCCAACCACCCAGTACATTATCTGAAGGTAATTTAAAAATGCGGAATTAAAAAGTATGAATTTTAGGCTAAATTATTATTTAATCAATTTTAGAAATACAGTACTGGCTTTTTTTCATATGATAAATAATAACATTCCTTATAGCTTTAGATTGTTTCAGAGATTTTTTTTTGTTTGGAGACATACTCATTTTATTTTTTTAACTCGAAATGTAGTTAAATGTAATGTGTGCGGTTTATTTACAGTAGAGTTCCAATCATTCTCTATCAAGAAAAAATAATCCATCGCAGGTACTTGCGGCTTTAGGAGTAAAAAGGTGGCAAAATTTTAATTTATTTCTTTTTTAACACAATATACTAGTTTCTACTTAACTTTCGCGTTATTGTTATAACACTCTAAATTACACTAAAATTAATTTTTCTTTTTTTTTTACATAAAAAAGTTAGCAATTTTACCGCACAATTGTACAGACGGATTATTTTTTTCTACATAGAAAATGATTGGAACTGTACTGTAAGTAACCCACGCACATTACATTTTGTATATTTTGAGATAAAAAAAAATAAAATGTATATTTCTCCATACAACAAAAATGTATTATGTATTAATTTTTTTCTCCGAAACTATCAACTTTTCAAAAAATTATACAAGAGCAAAAGTTGTTAGCAATATTATTATATATCACATTAAAAAAAAATTGCTCGATACTCCACAACCTATTCCTATGTCCAAGAATTATCAATTGGGGGCCCACTGTGCACCACTCCAAATGTTCGTTGTGAAATCACTCAAGATATTGTGTTCGTTAATAAACGAATTTATAGATTGTTTAGGCGGATTTAGGTAAAAAAAACAAATACATTTTATGTTGCATTTTATTAATTTTATACAGTTCTCTTCCAATTACTCGCTTATTTACATAAAATAATGATAAATCCTAGAGTAATAAAATAATAGACGTGAAAATCCATTTTCCATAATTATTTTGCCTAAATCTGATATAATACACATGTACTATTTTAAAAGGAACGTTAAATAATGGGCTACACCGTAACGAAATCTCGAAAAACATAAAAAGGCGAAAATTTTGCATAAATTAAAACCACAAATGGGCCCAGATTTTAAAAGCGAGTGTGACATTACATTCTAAGAAAAATAACTAAAAAATCCAATTATACATATTCTGGTTTGTAAAAGCAAAAGCCACTAAACTCCTAGCTGGATCAATCAATATTTACACCAACAAAATAAATGTTTATACATTCTATACTTAATAGTAATCCATGTCATGACAAAACTCAAAATACATCACGTATTATATAAATCAACATTATTTTTAATATTAATCCTTTATCACGATAACAGATAACATTAAAATATCACATGATGAAATGTTAAAACATTTTAAGTTAACGCTCGAAATGGCAAAGTTAAATTAAATATCAAGCTAAAAATAAAACACAGCTGTACAAATAAAATACTTATTTTCATTCATTCACACGGAGAAGCTGTATAAGGAACATTAAGCCAACATTACGAGCACATAGAAGAAAAGTAAAACAAATCAACCGGACGCCTACAAAAGCGCGGAACGCGTACTACACAGGCGACAAAATTAGAGAACTGACTTCTATGTTACTATGGCAGTCTTCTTTTACCGTAAACTTTAAACTTTAGTTAACTAAACAATGGTAAAAAAACTTTTAAGCCCAATTTCAATATTTACAATGCCCAGAGATAATTCTCGCAACAAGTATTATTTTTAAGTGCTTCTAATTTTGTCCGAATGTGTAATAATTATCAAATTAAAAATATATCAGGGTTTAAATCACAGCTACTGTTATTAGTGTCGATTATTGAGCGCATTATGTCTTTTCAGGCCTTGTTAGGACTTTTTAAGTACTCCTAATTATTGAAAGGCACTAGACCCTAGAACTACTATAGAAATTCTCTGTACACGAAAATGATTTAGAAATTACTTAAATATGTGCTATAAATGTCCTGGCAACAGCTCGGATCACGACTAGCCGATATTTATTATACTTTATTACATAATTAGTTTCAAATACATAGCAGTACAGTCAGCAAGATTAATATAATAAATTTTCAAGGAATTTGAGTACTCACTACATTAAATGCATTAAAACTCATTAAAATACTTTTACTTATTTACAGAAAAATATAATAAAATTTCGAATGTACACAACTTTTTTTAAGATAATCGGATCTAGCAAATATAGAAATGTAGATAAATTCATTAATAAAAGAGCTGCAATATTTCAAAAATCCAAAGGTTAATCAACCCTCTGTTGTAGGTCACAGATACGTGTAGTACATACGAAGTTACGGGTATAGCTTAAGAGTACAATTCAAGGCAGTAAATTTGTACTAGTAAAGGCTGTGATACATTATTGCTTTAAAGAGAGAAATAGGTACACCAAATTTTACTAAAATTGCACTGCAAAAATAGCTACAGTATGACAAATGGAGCCCAAATACTTATTATGCAAAAAAAAAAACATAAACCACCTGAGATTCAAACTAAACTCAAAATTGTAGTTTAAAAAAGGTAAAATTATGTTTGAAAATGCAAAAATACTAAATTCATAAAAACCTAAGAAACTTACAGTTTCATATTCCAAGAAAATAAATTAAAATGTATTTATGTGCTATAATGTCGGCGATTTTTTATTTTGGACACTAGATTACAAATCTTTAGGGCAGGCCCCAGTTTAAGGCCCATGTATTTCATCATCATATCGGAATTCAGCAACAGTAGCGCTTTGCCATCAATTTCCTGAAACAAAAAACAAAAGTTATCAACATTTATTATGATAAATGCTTTAATTACTGCAGAGGTTTAACCACACTTATCTGTGGTAGCAGCCTCTGTAAACATTATTTTCATCGCTATTTCACTGATAAAAGTAGAACAGTACTGAGAATATTCATATTATCAGTGTTATCACCGAATTACTTGCTATAAAAACTTACATGAGAATAAAATATGAACAAAAATTTTAAATTGAATATTATTGACCTGAATATTATTAAGCACATCACATTTGAAATTGCTACATTAATTAATGATTGACAAGTCTGCTCAACAGTATGGAGTATGGAATAGTGCTTGTAATCAATTGGGTCAATGAACCACGGAGGATCTTAGCTGTAACACTAGTCATACTATCTAGTGGACGCTAAAGCCATGCTCGGTTGGATTCTGAGAAGTGGTAAAATTGAAATGGTAGGCACTCTGAATGCCTGTGGGGCAAGCAGAGAATGGTTTCAACCAAACACCATCCCGTAAATTATAGAGCGTAAAAAGGGTGTATTAATGATTAGTGAAAAATGTTACCATACACAAGCTCACCATGAGTGAGCGAGAGAGGTGAAATTACATTAGTAACATTTTTGGTGATATTTGTTTCGTCAGTCACGATTTAGTCAACTTCAACTTCAACTTTTGTGTCTATGGCTCCGTCGTTTTGCGCGACGATTTTGCCAATGTCAGGGTTGAGAGACATGTGTAGCGGTAGTGAGACAGATTGCCGGTTATTAAAATACTTCGGCGGTTTTTATTCACAATGACGGTTATATATATATTTTAATGACATTACAAAAATATAATTTGAGAGCTCATGTTATTTTCTTTCTTTTAATTACGATAAATGCTAATCAATCAAAACTGGATACTGACATGCTTCCGGAACAAGTCGGCGTGTGCCGCCAAGGCCTGGTCGGCGGCGGCGATGAAGCCGATGACGTCCTCGACAGACCATTCTCCTACGGGCGCGCCAGGTGCAGGCGGCGGCGGCGCGCCAGTCGTAGACGACGCTGGCTCGGGTCGCTCAGGCGACACACGCGCCATCTTCGTACCAGAACTTTCACCAGTTCCGTTCATGCCACTACCGGCTGTTTCTTCCTGTAATAGATGATTGATGTGAGAGCTCAAAATTATCAATTTAATGATATACGTAAAGTGATAATCTTGATAATTATCCAATAATTACTATACTCCATATACATCTTTTTATTAAAACATATACTTTACAAATCAATAGGTACAAAAATAGGCATGCAATTTCATATGCAGCAAGTATTTGTAGTTTGTATTTGAAGGTAAGTAAAAATCATTCTATAAATGTATATTTCATTAAATAGACATCACAAGATTGTTCACATTTAGTTAAGCACCTAAATAAATAGACTATAGTTCAACAATAAAATGTTTAATATTATTATTATCAAGCTAATTACTCTGATAATTACTGATTCAAACCCGGGTAATTGTTGGTAAACATACTTCAAGTTATTTTTGTGTATTCTGACATGGAAATATAGCATTCTTACAATTCAATAATTGAATTAGAAATATGTATAATAAAGTTGCAATAACCATAATAATCAGCAGAACAATAGTGAACATTCTATTCTATTACGATAATCAAACTGTGTGAATATTTGATGATATGGATGGAGGGAATTTGCAAATTTAGTGCACAATAAAAATTATGCACCTGTAATTTAATAATCTAAATCAATTAACCCATATTTCACAGAAACTGGTAACCATCTCCTATAGACATTTCCAACAACAAACAAAAAACTTACACTGTTATTTCTTTTCACACCAGATGATACCCCATTTGAAGTGGATTCTCCACATAAGGTGCAAGGCCGACCCGCAGCCTCTCCTGTGTCAATCTCTATCATTCCAACACAGCTGCCCACGCCATTACAAATTGCTTTGAGCCAGTTCTTTAATTCTTCATTTGTTAATTCAGACGGGACTTTTACACTGTAGTTTTTATTACCTGATGTTACCTTTAACAAAACATTGATATAACTTTTGGTAAAACTTTTAATTTTTTCAGTAGGGTACACACGCATTATGGTACAAGTTCAAGAGTGTTGGTTCAAGCTAACACCCCGACACTTAAGTTTTAAATTCAACTCTATACCACTACAATAAGAACTGTCCAAAGTAAACCTGTACCACACTCTTGTACTGTACAATTCCTCAATCATGTCCCATGATGTTAGGATATGAAAGTTCAAAAACCTGTATATTATTTCATGGAGATTTACTTTAAAAAAATATATCTGCAATATTGACTTTTGAATATTCAGTTGTTTAGCCATAAATTACTAAAAATAAGTAGAAAGTCACATATTGTCATATTGTCACATATTACTTATATGTAATACAAGTAATTTTGTTCAACTACAACTCTCTATAGCAATTTTTATATTTCAAATTGATTTTATTTGTGACAAAATAAACATTTACCTGTACATTAGAGATATTGGAATAGCTACTAGATGCAGTCAGAATTGCCCTTGTCAATCTCTGTGAATCAGGATGTACACTGAGTAAGTCCTTCGCAAGAGCCTCTGCAGCCCCAGCATTTCCAATACCCGAAACACTGCTGGGTAAAAAAGTGCTGCCTCCAGAACAACTAGCACGAATCCTGAGTTGAACTGTCGCTGCAGGGGTGGATGAAGCAGATGAAGAGTTACCTGACCCCGTGGAACCACCCTCTGGTAATGCTGGGTTGGGTATACTACTGGGACGTAGTTTAAACCTAAAACAGTGTTGAAATTTGTAATTTTATAAACTAAATAACAATAATTAACATAATAAATATATGGAGACTTATTATATTTACCGGGATGGTGCAGTAGCACTCTTCTGACCTGGTGGTTGCAAGGGATGCCCTGCTCTGGCACACCAGCCTACTGGGAATATGTCCCTTGAATCATATCTGCACCAATAGTCAAATGCGCCTCTCCATCCATCAAATGTTACATGTATCTGATCATTCTTTACTGCTCCTACAGTAGCACAACAAATCAACTGTGGATTTTTTTTATCAACTGCTTCTAGCTTCTGACCCACAACAAATAAGTTTGCCTTTGGAGTTACAGGTTCAGGTTGAAACACTTTCGCAGGAGCCATTTCTGCATTGTACAAAGTCTTTACCAAAAATGTAGGCCAGCTACTTGCATTCATACGAAACCCAAGTGGTGGTTGAAGCATTCCATCATTCTTTTCACAGTGGCCTACAGTATGTATATCTCCTGCATCCACTAGACGCCAGAAATCATTTTTGTTATCACTACCATCCAGTCTCAATCTCAATCGAGGGCCCAACACTCCTACTACTGTAGCAATGCATGTGGAGGTTAAGTTGCGAGGATCTAAGGCTTCAAGTTTCATGTTCACTTTAAATTCATTTACAGGAGGTACAGGTGCTTGTTTGAAATTTTCTTGGGGAGCAGCTACGCTATTGGACTCTTTCATGTATTCATTCCAGTCAAAAGTCTGATATAAATCATAAAAAGATCCCGTAGAATTATTGTTCGAATGGTTTTCTGAACCGTTTGCGGCATTGCCAGACTGAGGCGACGATGTCCTTTTCTCATTCTTCTTTTGGTATTTGTTTAAACAGTACGTAGAACAAAAGTTTTTACTGCTCGAAGGAGCATTACCGCGAATAACATTGTCGCAGTGCAGACAGGCGCCTTTGCTGTACGCTTGTCTGAACTCTGAGAGGCAAGTCTCAGAACAAAATTCTTTTTTCCCATTTTCTGTTGGCAAAACATACTTCAAAGGTGTCTTACTTTCAGCGCACCACGTACAAGTACGTTTTGGGGGCCTTCCAGGTCCACGTATTTTGCCGGGAGCTGGACCTGACGAGCCAACCGTGTTGTTTGACATCGTTTTGTTTTTGGAATTTTTGACTTCTAATGCATTATTATCGCTTATCCAAATTCACAATTGGTACGCCAATCACATTTTACTCACATTCGCCCTAAAAATACAACGTAATTAGCGGAACTGTATTATATTTTACGCAAATATAAACAAAGTCAGCGAGTATTTATGACGCCATTCGAACGGCCATGTTAAAATTGTATTTTTTTTTTAGTTACGTCAATGGGAATTCTGCGTGTTGCCATTTTTGTAAGTTTATTTTATTTTGAAATCATTCATTCAATCATCATGACATGACAAACCCCAAAAATGTTGAGTATGTGTAGTTCTTAGAGGATGGAAAAAATAAAGGAAGTCTTAGGGTATAGTTACTGATTAGGTAATTTTCTGAAAAATTTCAAACAGTGGAAATTTTGAATAATTGGAAAAATATATAATTTAATAAATATAATTTCGAAGGTTCACATTATGTTCTACGTTTACAAAATTTCTTTTGAAGCTTTTTAGTACCATTCACTACATCTTTCTAGACATAAAGGCAAAAGCGTTACATTTCCATCACAATTATTACAGTTCCAGTTACAAAAACACACATACATACATACATACAGGTACACATGTACTTAGTTTAGGCATCGCAATTGCACTATTAGGCACAAAGATTAAAATGTTTAATTTTACCATGATTATTTTGTATAAATTAAATTTTTTTTTTGTTTTGTTTATTACTGTTTATTTTAATATTTTATCTTCAATTACATTGTTTTCATTATAATTGTATTAGATTAAGTAATATTGAAATAAATTTATCTTATCTTATCTTAAAAAAATCGCAGTAACAAATCACCGAGATTTTGTCACACCTGTCACTTACGTCATGATGAACAGTTTTGGCAAGCGCTAACTTTCTAGTAGTCGTCTTCTTCAATGTAACGTTTAATGTCCTTTGAAAAATTGATCCGCAATAACCTTCACAGTTTTACAGGCTTGTCGCATTATTCCTTAATAAGACCATGCGGCGTGTTTATTATTTTAGATCAATGTTGTATAATTATCTTACTTGTATTTATAATGTTACACGGTGTGGCGGCGTCGGACGCGAGCCTTTAGGTGAGTGTCAGCCAAGCTATACATATAAGTTGTAAGTGGCAACACTAAATATTAAAAAGTAACGTCTCATAGTCTAGTCTATGTTTTTTTCTTTCTTGGAGGGAAACGGCAAAATTGGAGAACCTTGTTGTTTGTGTAAAAGTTTTAGGGTCGTATTCCAGAACTCTACTCAATGCTCAAGTAAGGATTTGAGCAGACTTGAGTATGATTTTAAGCACCGAAAATACGACCATAATGGCAAGGACTTGAGTATGATTTTCAGTGCTCACTGCAATACATAAGTCAGTTGAATATTGAGTAGAGTTCTGGAATACGACCCTAAATGTAGAAGTCATCAAGTACAAGCTGCAGCAGAGACTCTAAAACTGAACTTCGACACACGCGACTCCGACAACATGCTACATCGACATGATTTTACTCAGACATTACGTTACTCCGACAATATGTTACTTCGACCTTCGACATTATTTTACTCAGACACTACGATACTCCGACAACATGTTACATCGACATGATTTTACTCAGACACTACGCTACATCGACAATACAGACGAAGTGTTTATTAAAAAAAATCGTTTTTACTCTGATAAGAAAAATCATCATTACAAACCCATCTAGGAAATGGTTTCTTATTATATATCGATCAATATAACAAAAAAAAACAAAACCATATGATCGAAAAATTCTTTCATTAGTTATATAAAGTGTAACAAAAAACTATTAAATTAAAATATAAATTTTTACTTCACTATTTCATGTACTAAAACCTAATTACAGTACCTAAACCCTTAGAATAATAACGCATAGAAACCTAGCCCGCACACGCTAAGTGAGGCAAGTTAGAGGGTTCCAAACGCGTCCCAGAAGCGCGCGGGCTGTTAGTGCTCAAGGTCATATTGCACCGCGAACAGCTCCAAAATTTTTTGCTAAAAATGACGAAATGTGCGGTAAATGGGTGTAAAAAATACAACAGACAAACAAAATAGACACTAACATCGCATTCCACAAGTAAGTAATGCGTTTCAACTCATATTTTTATGTAAATATTCACTAAAACAGAAAAATAATTTCGGGGCAACAAGATACGAAAGTGTTGCAAAGTAACGAATTTTTTTTCTCCCCATTTTGCTATTCTGTATCAAAATAATTATATTACGTAAATTTTAGTGGTGCCTGTAATTTCGATTTATTTGCGCATTTTGAACTAATATTTACTCGAATAAACATTTAATGTTTTCGTTAACTCCTGTAAGTGATTGGGACACTTAATTATTTT